TACGCCCGGGAGGTGCGGTGCGGCCGCTGGGCGAGGACCCCGATGCTGCCGGGCAGAGGGGCCGCTGCGGGAAGAGGGCGCGGTGCGGAGGGAGAGCCGCGCTAGATTCAGTTTATTCGTTCGTCCCTCTCTGTTCAGTTCACCACCACCGTGGTCTCCTGCCGTCCCGCGGAGCTGCCGACCGAAGGAAGCAAAGGCAACAGGGACGTGCTGAGCGGTTTCCAGGTGGTGCTGGAAGACACGCTGCTTTTCCCCGAGGGCGGGGGACAGGTACCCGAAGCCCCTCGTTCCTTTCTGCCGGGGTCTCTGTGTCCAGGAGTGAGGGCGAGCCCGGCCTCCCTCTGCTGCTGACCGGCATTTCTTCCCCCAGCCTGATGACCGTGGCACAATCAATGGCATCTCTGTGCTGAGAGTGACCCGCCGGGGGGCCGAGGCCGACCATTTCACACAGACACCCTTGGCCCCTGGGACTGAGGTCCACGTCCAGGTGGACTGGGAGCGGAGGTTTGACCACATGCAGCAGCATTCAGGTAGGTGGGGGCGGGATCGGGGGCTAATGGGGGAGGGGGGCAGTTGCTCTCTATGGGATACGGTTTGGGCTCTCTAGGAGTTAGCCTTTTGGAAAAGTCAGACGTGTGCAGAATCAGCTCCGCTTGAGGCAGGTTAAGGTAGATGTTATAAAAGCAATATGAGCAATTAAAAGTATTAGAATATGGTGCTGGCCGGGAGGTCCAATTGGTAGAGCATTGCCCCAACACACCAAGGTTGTAGGTTCAATTCCTGGCCAGGGCACATACTAGGAACAGCTAATGAATGCATACATAAGTGGAACAACAAATCGATGTTTCTTTTTTCTTTCTCTCTCTCTATCTTTCTCCCTTCCTCTTTCTCAATCAACCAATAAAAATTAAAAGTATTAGAGTAACTGCTGGATTTGAGCATTACCAACTTCCTGTATTGGTGTCTTTATCTGGATGTGTCATAAACTTCTTAAATTCAGAACATCCAGAATGGTATTTAAAATTCATCCATTAAAAAAAAAAAGACAAAAACAAACAAAAACAACAACGAATAAAAGTCATCGATTCCAGCCTTGGCTGGTGTGGCTCAGTTGGTTGAGTGTTGTCCAGTGCAATGAAAGGTCACGGGTTAGATTCCCAGTCAGGGTACATGTCCAGGTTGTGGGCTTCGTTTCTGGTCAGATATGTTTGGTGCAGGAGGCAACCAATTGATGTCTCTCTCTCTCTCTCTCTCTCCCCCTCTCCTTTCCTCTCTCTCTAAAATCAATAAAAACATTTTTTTTTTAAAGTCACCCATTTCCCCAGACTTGGTCTTCCATGAGCGTTCTCTCTATTCAGTGCATGGCATCAGCAGCCACCTAGTTTGTCAAAATCCTGGAAGTTAGTACACACACTCTTTGGGGCTAGCCAGTCAATCACGAAGTCCTGTCGGTTTATCTTCTAAATGCTTCTCTATTTCCTCCCACTGTCAGTGTGATCATCTTAGGCCCAGCTCTCCTTGTCTTTTCCCCAGACCTCTGTAATAGCCTCCTGGCTAGTCTCTCCACATAAAGTCTTGCTTCTTGCAGCCTGTTCTTCGCAGAGCAGCCAGAATAATCTTTTAAAAATTAAGATCGGATCATGTCACTCTCCTACTTAACGCTCTTCAAAAGCTTCCTGTTGCTCACGATAGAGCTGAACTTACCATGGCCCCCAAGCCCTACCTGGGCTGGTGCTTGCCTGCCGCTCCAGCCTCAGCTGGCCTCCCTCCCTCCTGCTCCCAGCATTCTGCCTGTGCTGGCCTTCCTCTCGATTCCTTGAACACATCCTGCTTCTTTCCTCCTTCAAGGCCTTTGGTCTATTCCCATTGCCTTCCAGTTAATTCCTTCTATTCCTCCTCCTCCTCCTGTTATCAGTCGGAGATAATGCTGTATCTCTAACATCAAGCCCTGTGCCTTGCATGTGGGAGGTATTTGATAAATATTTGTTGAGTGAATATGCCACATTAGAGCTTCAGTTCAAATCCTGCCTCTGATAAGCTACGTTGCTTTGGCAAGTTACTTGATATTTCCAGGCCTCAGTTTCCTTATTTGTGAAATGGCATCGTAAAGCCTCTTGCAGAATTCTTACGAGGATATTCAATGAAGTATCTCAATGTTACCCAGTGCCCAGCAGGTCTTCATCAAGGAAACTTTCTATGATGATGTGGGAGTATGTGGCTGTCTGGGCTTCTCATTCTTCTCTCTCTCATTCTCTCTTATCAGGGCAGCATCTCATCACAGCGGTTGCTGATCACCTGTTTGGGCTGAAGACAACGTCATGGTGAGGAGGAGGCATAAGACTAACTGCAGAGCATGACTCCGGACTCCCAGCTCCTTTCTCAGTATTGGGTCAGGGGGTAGGAGGCTAAAAGAAAGAGCAGTGTTCTGAATCTGCTGTGTTGTCCTGGTCCCCTTGAGGGTGGGGGGTGGATGACCTTGTGTTCCTTAGGAAAAACAATAGGATGAGCGGAGAGATATCTGCCTTTGCTTAGGAAAGAACATAGAATTTTGAGCCTAAAGACCTATGCAGTGTGGATCTATGTGACCTTGATCACATTCGTTACTACCCCTCAGCTGTAAGATGGAAATGACAATCCCTACCTTGCAGGGTTTTTGTGAGGATTAAATAAGATAATTTATGTGTGTGTGTGTGTGGGGGGATAAGGACACATTTGTAATACCTTAACTAATAATAATAATAAAAAAAAAATAAAACATCAAAAAAAAAAAAGAAACCTTAAAAAAAAAAAAGATAATTTATGTGGACATTTTTTGTAAACTGAGAACTTTCTTACGTTGTTACTGTTGTCATTATCAGCATCCTGTGGCTCCTCTACTTCTTCTGACAGGGAGTTAGGGCGACTCCGGAGTGTGATTGAGCTGGATAGCCCCTCTGTGACTGTAGAGCAAGTAGCTGCCATTGAGCAGAGCGTCAATGAAAAAATCAGAGACCGGCTGCCTGTGAATGTGCGAGAACTGAGCCTAGATGATCCTGAGGTGGAGCAGGTGAGGGGAGAGCCAGTGGGGTGGCTTCTGTAGAATGGCCCTCTGGGGGCGCCTCATCAAAATTCAGACAGCCCTTCTCCCTCCTCTGTGTTCTAGGTGAGGGGCCGGGGTTTGCCAGATGACCATGCTGGGCCCATTCGAGTTGTTACCATCAAGAATGTTGATTCCAACATGTGCTGTGGGACCCATGTGAGCAATCTTAGTGACCTTCAGGTAGGTGAGGAGGGACTTCTGAATGGTTAGGAAAGAGGGTGTGAGGAGTGTGGGATCACAACAGGGTTGGGAGGGGTAGAGGGGGACAATTGGGGAGTCCTGAGCAAAATCACTCTTTTATTGCTTCCCAACTAAGGGGTAGGTCTAGGTGTCTCCTACCCTTGTGTCCAGCACTCACTGTGTTTTCAGTGTGTGTGTGTGTGTTACCTCCTTGCCTCATGTAGGTCATTAAAATTCTGGGCACTGAGAAGGGGAAAAAGAACAAAACCAACCTGATATTTCTGGCTGGGAACCGCGTGCTGAAGTGGATGGAGAGAAGTTACGGAACGGAAAAAGCATTGACCGCTCTGCTGAAGTATGCCCCCTCCTGTTGTCTCCTGCTTCTCGGGACCTGGACACCCGGGCTTAGCCTTCCTGCCTGTAGGCAGGCAGAATAATCTGGCTCTGGGCGGTGAGATGTGATCATAGATGACAAAGTGCAGTGGACGAACGCCCAACACCAAAAGCAGTGGGGAGGCTGGGCAGCTCTCCACGGGCCTCTCACTTGCAGGTGTGGAGCAGAGGATCACGTGGAAGCCGTGAAAAAGCTGCAGAACTCCACCAAGCTCCTGCAGAAGGTGGTTATTCCCTGGCGGGTAGAGAGCGCGTGGGCTCTGCCTGGAATAGGTCTGGGACTTGGTCGCTCCGCCCAACCAGATGTGTAGTTTGTCTGAGGGGGAGGGAGGGGAGAATGAAGTGGAGGGAAGGCGGTGCTGTCTTGTTATCCTTCCCACCTGTCTACTCAGCTCTGGCATCCATTTCAGAACAACCTGAATCTGCTGAGAGACCTGGCTGTGCACGTTGCCCACAGCCTCAGGAACAGCCCAGACTGGGGACGTGTGGTGACGTTACACAGGTGAGAGACAAGGCAGGGGCGTGAGGCTTTAGGGCTCAGCCTCTCCCCTGTATGCAGTGCACAGTGGTTGGCGGCCACTCACTGGTGTTCTCAAGGCTGGGTAGACCCTAAGAAATGTGTTACCTACCAGATTTTTGGGGTTGATATAAGCATCTTCCTTTTTAATCCTCACCTGAGGATATTTTTTCCATTGCATTTTAGAGAGAGCGGAAGGAAGGGAGGGAGGAGATAGAGATGGAGAGAGACACATCAGTGTGAGAGAGAACAACAATGTGAGAGAGACACATCCACTGGTTGCGTCCCACACATGCCCCCACCCGAGGTGGGAGCAAACCTGCAACCCAGGTATGTGCCCTTCACCCTAACTTTCATTAGCACCTTCCCTCACCTCCTTCACCATCTCACAGGTCTTTACTTCCCTCAGGGAATCCTGTTAAAGGGAGACAGAAATAAACGCAGCGCTTGTTAGGAGCTGCTGGTGCTGAGAAGGACGTCCTGCTGGCTCTCCGCCAGCACGCTCTCTCTGCTGAGGGGCCTGGGACTTCGCACAAACAGGCAGCAGGAAGGCCAGCCTCACGAGGAGGAGCTGGGCATCCGGTGGTTTCCCAGCTCCCTCTCCAACCTGGATCTCACATCTGTGCCTTTCGTTGTAGGAAGGAGGGCGATTCTGAGTTCATGAATATCATTGCCAATGAGATTGGGTCAGAGGTAAGAGACGCACCCTGGGTAGAGACCTAAATGAGGGGCGTTAAGTTAGCTGAAGCCCTTCCACATGAGCACATGAAGAGTAGGGGACAGAAATTCATTCAGTATAGTTTTCTT